ATCTCATTTCTGGAGTGTGTGACCTCTGGTATAATCCCAAAAGACAGTGCTTCTCCCTTCACCCAGAGGGACCCATTTAGCCCTCAACTACGTCTGGCTCCCGTCCTTTAAAGCCTCTTTGATCCCCAGTATCATTTGTGAGGTCCTATAAAATCAGGGTAAAGGAGGAGGAAGTGCTGGCAGTATATTTAACTGCAACAAGGCCAGCAATCATCATATTTAAACCACTTCTCTTTATCAGTGACAAAAGCTTTAATAGCACACTCCCAGGCTCCAGCAGGCTACCAACTTACACGTTCTCTGATAAAAATATTTGTCTACAAAAATTGCATTAAGGCAGATAAAAACCACTGCTTGCTAGTCATACACATAAGCAAGTCCTTCAAGGCCAAAGGAATATAAAGTGAAAAAGAGAGAGAAGATAATTCTTCACATTATAGCAATAATAATCCAAGAGATGGGTAAATAAGGTCAGATCCCTCAGGGGAAGAGGGGTAATTTAACTTCTCCGTTGTCACTGCCTCAATTCAGCGCACGATGTGTGTAACACAGCAGAATGGTGGCAGCAGTAGCAGCATCTCAATGTTACACCATCATCACAAACATCTTCAGAGGGAAGAGTTTTAACAGCATGGCTGAGACAGGACGTGCTAGATGGTGGCTGTGATCAAACAGCCTGTTAGCAGATTATAGAAAATCAAGAAAATTTAAGAAATTTGTAGAAAATACTCTGTCGCAACTAGTCTGTTACTCTGTATTATCTGGCACTGCTCCATTTAGAAGGATTCAGATGTAAAATGACTCTCATTTCAATCTTGGCTGTAGCAGAGGTTGGACTAGTGCAACTGGTGATTGTCCCCCATCAAAAAGAGCAAGTTCCGTAGAGATACTTGGGGATAAAATAATGCTTCTGGCCCTTGAATGCAGAGAGCCCTCCCTTCAATCTTCCCAGATTAAAGCAGGCCTTGCTGATGTAGCACAGCAGAAAGCTTAAGGCATTAGCTTTCCTAGCAGTAAATAAAAGGCATAAGAACCCATTACAGCACAGACCAGTAGAGACACTCCTGATGTAATATTCCCTTTTTCATGTTTAATCAAGATGATTAATACCAACGCTGCTACAATGTAACAAGACACCACTGAGGACGTGACTTAATAGCTTTTACTATAATTATGAAGGAATCGTAATAGCATAAAGACCCAAAGAGGCAACTCACTGATTTTTTCAGTTTTCAAGATATAACAATAAATAAATTTTTAAACAGTTCCTTGAGTGAAGCACACAATGGTATGGGAAGAGATGTACACTGTATTTATTGGTGGTACGACAACAGCTGTAGTGGTTCTCTTTTTTGCTTCACATTCACTCATTTTTGTACTGCACTCTGTCAGTACAGGCACCCTGAATTTTTCTTATAGGTTGATATTAGGAACTGCTGGGAAAAAGCATCACTGAAAAACTGAGAATTACAAGGCTTTCCCCCTGCAATTCACGAGATGAATCACACTGATTCCGCTGCTCTATGATTTTATGCTCACAGCAATTAGGGAGGGCTTGGAGATGAGAGATGTTTACCAGAAAATGTCTCAATGCAAGTTTTAATAGACTTCATTCAGCTCAGAATTTAAGTGCTCCAGCCATTTGACTGCAACATTAAATAGTCTCTAAAAAGCCAAATAATAAGAACTTCCATATTGATAAGCACAGATTTAAGGGGCAATCTAGGCTAACCCCATGAGTGAAAATATACTTACGCAAACCTGGGGCTTTTCATTCTTTTTTTGCTTTTCAAATCCCTAAAAACCTCTGCAATGGAGGCGCAGGCCCCCACATAGTGAATTTAAGCTTGATAATGGCCTTGTTTCCTCACACAGCCTTCATAATTTTTCCTGGAACATTCAGAAGTAGCCCATAGTCCATCCCCAGACTGAAACCACTGGCCTGTGTGCTAATTATATTGGCAGAAGGGAGCCCTATACATATACCCACACCGCCAGTGCACCCATGCTAAGTTGAAGAATGGCTTGGGCATCAAGCTGGTGTATGAATTGCAGGAACACAAGGTTTCAGGCAAGCTAATTTACGTGATTAAGTTGAGCTTTATACCACAGAGAAGTAACATTTGTTTTCGACTGGTTTTCTCCCTCTGTAGCAGAAAGCTATTTTACAAAGATAAGAACAATTACACCAGTTATTCTGGCTCAGACTGAGGGTCCATATAATTACTGCTCCGCTTCCAGCAGTGGCCATAAGCAGATTTTCCAGTGAAAGTGATATTTTTGACAGTTCTCTGAAATCATTGGTTTAACATGCAACAAAAGCCAGAAAAATGAACATAATGTTGGCCATTACAAGGAAGCGATTAGCAGTAAAAAGCATGATTTTATTTAGAAGTAAATCCCGAGTGTGCCCACTTCTGGAGTTCTCATCTGCACACCTCAGCAAGGACACAGCATGATTTTATTTAGAAGTAAATCCCGAGCGTGCCCATTTCTGGAGTGGAGTGCCATTCTCATCTGCACACCTCAGCAAGGACATGGCTAGAAAAAGGGACAGGGAAAAATAACTAAAATTATTACAGGAATAAAGCAGCTGAATTGCAAGAAAAAAAGCCCAAATAGCTGGAACACTTCGATTTAGAGAGGGAAAAGCCTGGGGGATAAAAATCAAGATTTCCAAACCCACCAGTGTAACAGAGGATTTAACTGCAGTACAGTACTGCACAAGGGTATTAAATGAAACTAACAGGAAATTGGTTTAAAACACATTAGAGAATAAATACTTCTTCATATGGTGGCTAGTGAACTGGCTGACAGTATTGTATTCATAAAGTAATTTAGAGAAATTCACTGATAATAGATCCATTCAATGACACTAAAGGGAACAGGTACCCTCTAACACCCATAATTTGGGGACGGTGGATACTGGGGAAGCAGCAGCCCAGAGGCCAGGCTTGCATCCCTTCCCTAAATAGCATGTCCTCCTGCCATTAGCAGAGATGGAACACTTGGCAAAACAGAACCTTTAGCAGGACATTTCTTACATTCCCTGAATGCTCTCTCAGCCTCTGACAATTTTCTGCAGAGTGGGAGAGCCTGAAGTGAGGTTTTTTTCCCCTAGTTACCTTCGTTGGCATTATCTTCCCAGCTCTGGTCCAGTCTCCTCAAACTTTTTGCATCCACAGTATTCTTTAAGAGTTTCACAGCTCTTATATCACCACTGATGTGAAGAATATTATTCCTCCCAACACATACATTGAGCTATAAAAATTGTTGAGGAAACTCAAAGTGATAAATATGTATCTCAAACATAATCTCAAGATCTTTACAAGATCTTTCATTTGCCCTTAGCTTTAGGTTACTCCCAACAGTATCGACAGGCTTTCCCATCTTTCTGCTAGTCTTCTCTTCTAGATGATTTAAGAAAATACTGAACTGCACAGATCTCAAGAGGCTTTCACTGATAATCTACAAGAGGTGACCATCTACTTCTCCAACCACCCAACAAAACCCAAAGACACTGTCTCCACACCTCTGCAAGCCGAGTCCCAGGAGTCTTCAATCCAGTTGGTTTCATTGATTCCTTAAATATCCTAAGTGCCACCTCTCAAAGACACCTCACTGTTCACACTGTTACGCTATTGACCTTGCTTAGGCTTCATCTTTCCTCCTTACAGTTACATCTTCAAGGGTCCTCAGAACTTAGCAGAACCAATTCTAAAATAAAATTCATTCCTGTTGCTATGCATTTAGTATAATTGGAATCCCTGGCGACATCCAAATGAGCCATTGAAATGCAAGTCCATAGCTCTTTCAAACAAAAGAAAATTAAGGATAAGAATCCCTGTTTTCTTCTCATAGTAAAATAAAATGCCTGTAAAGTCTGGTTCACAACTGTTCCATAGAAAGACTATATAAAGCTTTGGCTTTGTATTACTTAACAAGAACAATTAAATTAAGTTTCTATATTGCCAGGAAGAGCACTCAAAGATGAAAATATATGATTACTCTTTCTGTTCTGAGAATATTGCACAGCGTTATCTACCAGCAAGGATTCCCCAGCACTTCAAAAATACAACTAAACCTCATCTGCACAAATCTCTCATGACAGTTTGAACAGGCTGACAGTGAGACTCGCCTCATATTCAGAATTTCCATCAATTTTAGTCACAGAATACCAAGTAAAGAACTCCTTAGGCAGGGTGGAAGGATAGAGAATAGCCCAAAGGGAAGGTAAAAGCCTTGTACAGACTACATGATACATAAGAAGAAACGAAGCGTATGGTCGAAGCCCTATCAGGAAAGTTCTCCAAAGAAAACATTTTTAAAGGAGAAAATTAGTACACATAATGCCAAAGAAGGTTTTGGAATAATGATCATTATCAGGAATAAGTAATAATGTACTATTATAACAAAGAAAGTGCAAGTCCAGGACATAGAACTGGAACAGGTTAACTCAATTGTCCACAAGACAAGAGCCTTTCTTGCAGCTGAGAAAAGCAGCACTAATAAACAAGCAATTTCCATTATTTTCATGGTATGTCTTATTATTCTCATTTTCTTCACACCAAATATTAGACGAGTAAGGAAAGGCCAAACATTACAAAGCCACCAAAGAACATAGTCTTCAGAACTAAAAATCTTCTATTCATTGCTCAGTATGCTGTTTTTCTGGCATTTAGTTAAGTGGCAGATCATTCAAAATACGCATTCTTCATCTGTCTAAATATTTCAAGTAACAGACTAAAATACAGACACGTCCAGAGTATTTCACACTCAGTTATATTAAATTAGGCAAATTTTGTAGTCACAGAATATTTTAGTATATATTACAGTACATCTTACACAAGTGGTATTTGGGTTTATACTTAAATTAGTAATTATCTTGGGTTTTTTGACTTTTATTTCTAATATAAATATCTGCCTGGATTCTGTTACCATTTATTTGCCAACTAAAGGTGAAAACCATTTATACTGCTGAAAAAAAAAAAAAGTCTTACCTCCATTGCCAACGCTGCTGTTTGCTGGTCATAATGATTGAGAAGGTTAGGCATAAAGGTGGTATTGTAAGGCAGGTCCTGGCACATCCGCAAGATGATGGGCTCACAAGAAAATAAACTGTGCCCTCTTGTGTGCCCCACCAAAACATCCAAAAGCCAAAGGTACCAGAACATCCAGCTAACAGCCATCCTTCCACAAGTGGAATGGGGCCAGTGACTGAGCCCAGTCAGAAAGCTCTTTCATGGACCTTCAGGTTTCACTTCTGCAGCGGTATTTTCGATCCTCGGATAAGATTCTTCAAAACTGGAATACTCTTTGTGGATGACATTCTTAGCTCAGTCCAGAAGATGATGTATTTGAGAAGAGATGTGAGAAATCTTGCCTTTCCTTTTCTCAGTATTATATGGCATGTATTAGGTGAAGGTATGAATATATTTAACCACATTCCCACACAACTGACCCCATGGTGACTGAACAGCAGTTGAGTTATGTTCTCCTTCTGTTAGGTAACCTAGAATAAAAAACACAACAAACAGAATAAAGTGAAAATCATCGTAATTGATTAAAATATTTTAGCTGGAAATTGCCTGGCATACAAATTGCTTCAAGTTCTGATGTGCAAGACCAGAGGGCCCCTTGACAAGTTTTAATCCTGGTTGCAGACTATTTCCGACGGCAAAAAAGCCGGTATGCTGTAAAACTCTGCCCAAAAAGGATGGTGACAAGGGGGAATGTATTTACAATGAAGACAAATATTTTTAGAAAACCCCGCACTTTTAATTTAACCATGAGAGCATTACAATTGTTGACCACACTGAAACCAAGCTATTTATGACTCAGCATCTCCACCGGTACGTTCACAGCGATAGCATCTCTTTAGTTGCACGGCCTCATAACTTCTGCTGAATAATTATAAAACAAAAACAAAACAGTCACCACCACCAATCCACAAGTCCCAACTTGCAGGACTGAAGACTACTGTCCTGCCCGACGAGCTACACTCATGCTTTGGCTACCTGTGTACAAATATATCATTTTAAGGCCAGTTGTAAACAGCTTTTTTGTTCCCTCTAACCCATTTTACTTGTACACACCTCACACCTTGCTCTCTGGAAACCATCATAAGAGCTAAGGAGAAGCCAGAAGCCAGCGTCCTTTGACCACCACACTCACAAAGATGGGAATTAAAGGTGGCTACGTGTGGTTGCTCTGCCAGTTCCACCCTACCTATAGAGCCAATTTAAACAGCAGCTGTTCCTCAGGGCTGGAGCTGCATTTTCTCAGCACTCAGGGGCTGGAGGGGAACAAGGAGAGTGGGGACTCAGCACATCGCGCCCATCGACCGGAGAAACAAACTCTGCAGTCGGAGGCTAAAGCACAGAAAAAGTTGTCAGAGCCCTAAGAATATAAAGAGGCACTTTTCTTGTAACCATTTTTGTCTTACAGCAACGCAATTTGCAAAATTCAGTCTCTAAATAACTGCTTTTAAAAAAATTATGGTTAAAAAATGGTAACAGAAATTTAGAAATTCTGTTTGAACGAGAAAACCCCAAGTACTCCATGGATATTCCCAGGAGGAGGCAATCACAAATGTGAACAGATTTCCAATCTTGAGAGAATATTGTTTTTCCTTAGATATTCAGGAAGGGAAATAAATTCTACACGTCAGAAAGGGAAAAAGAATTAATCACCAGACTTCTGCTGGTACCAGCCGATCAAAAAAGTTACGTATGCACCCTTTTGTTTCCATAGGCCCATCTTATGGGCAGAAAAATTAAATGCCTTTTTAAAGCCTCACATACTTTGTGGGTTGGACTAGATAATCTTGAGAGTTTCTTTCCACCCTAAACAGTTCTGTGCTTCTCTTCACGACCATGTGTGGTAATGGTTTGGGCTGTAGCTGTTGGTAAAAACAAACATGCAAAGAGGAAAAAGCCCGAGATGCTAAACATAAGCATGTTAAATTAAGTTCATTGACAACTTGCTTTCACAAGCTGCTGGCTCTCTCACAGCTATTGACAGGGAATCCATGTTCCGTGTTTGAAGCAGCACTGAAGTATAGAAAGAAAAGATTACACAAATCGTAAAACTGTTCCAAACCTAGGAAAAATAAAACATAAAAAAAGCAGAAAAGAGAATTATCTACACCTTAAGCTATGTGGTAGAACCAACCAATACAGCTCAAATCACATTGTCTTGCTTATATTTTGAAACAAGCAAGAAGAGCAGTCGATGCACTGAATTGAAAAGATAAAAATTAGCCACAACGTTTAAGACACGCTACATCTAACCACACATGATTTCAGTCCAATTTCAAGTTCACATGGCCCTGAAAAGCTAAATCCTTCTGATCTAAGGAAGCCATTTCTCAGACTTATTTTTCAATAATTCGGTGCCTCTTTCAAAACAACCCAAAAAACTCAGAGATCTGAACTATCCCATCTTTCAGGCCAGCATTACTTAACCCTAAAGGTTTCTGCACAGTCTCAGATCCTGACCAGAGGATTACAAGTTACAGAGAGACAAAATCAATTCCTACCTAGTTTTGTACAAGGTCCCTAATCCTCTTTCAATCTAGCCTTTTGATTTTGACATTTTACTAATAGTTCCCTAAGCTCAGGAAAAGCAGCTTTTTCAGTTCATTGTCATCTCCAAAACACTTGGCTTCAAGCAATGTTTTTTTTTTTCTTCTTCTTTTTCCCCCCAGACACTTTGGCCACCAACTCCAAAAGACTTTATTCAACAGCTTCAGCAAAGTCAACTTGTAGTGTGGATTAGTGATGGAGTTTTTAACATGTTCCCTGTAATTCAGGTGCCATTCCAGCAGCAATCAGCAGATAATGCTTCATACAAGAGCTTCAGAAGCAATACAAGATGAAGAGTACTCACACCAGGCATTGTGTTAAAGTTGGAAGCACAAACATTGGGCAAATCCAGGTCAGGATCTACAGTCTTGGGAAAAAGTCCAAGAACACTTCACACCAATCATCATATTAATGACATTCAAAGTAGAGACTCCAAACAAATCCACCCATCCTTTGACTTCTTCACAACCTCAAACTGAAAAAAAACGTGCAAAAAAGCCCAGACTCAACAAGTCGTGAAAAGTTTTAACTCTGCAACAAGCAGAAAAAGAAAAAAAAAAATTCATCATGTTCTTTCAGGACTTTTCCATGTTATGCTTGAGTTCTTATTACTATATAATATCATAAAGGAAAAGAAGAATGTATTTAATAGGGCCAGAAAAGAATGTCATATTATATAGCTTGATCACACAGTACCCTTTCACCAAAAAAAAAAAAAAAAAGGGGGGATTTGGGGGGACCATCGGGTGTCTGTGGCTTTCTCCAGCCCTTGGTGGAGGAAACACCCAGGGATGGGTGTTTGAAGGGGGCTGGTATTCACCCCAGCTGCAGATTTGGGGGGAAAAAATGCAAATTTGGCTCCATGGAAAGTTTGTCACCCCCCAGAGGAGCACAGAGGGGGGGTACAAGGAGAGGGGCAGGACCCCCACCAGGGATGGAGACCCCTTCCCCACGCACCCAGATGGCAGTGCGTCCTCCTGCCCTGGAGCAGCGTGAGGTCCGAGGCTAAAAAAAACCATTTGGGGGATTTTTGCCCAATCTGGGGCCCTAAAAACCTGGCTCCCCCCCAGATCTGTGAAGCAGGTGCCATGTGATGAGGGGGGACACCACCTGGTGCGAGCTTCATTCTCTGCTTGTGAACCCCTGAAATGGGAAGGGGGGGGTTGGGTGGGAAGGGTCTGGGTGCACCTAATCCTGGGGTGCACCCAATCCCGGGGAGTTTGTACCCAATCCTGGGGTGGTTTAAAGCACCCCGGGGTGCTCCCTGACCCCCTTTCCTGCAGGCTGCCGGTGGGGGTGAGCAATGGGGAGACTGGTGGAGACCCCCACATCGATACCCAGACCTGGAAGAGGAAAAGTAGCCGCCGAGGTGGGTTAAAACAAGAAGAAAAGCCCTGCCAAGATTTGGGGAGGATTTCTCCATCCTGGCTTGAGCTTCAGGTCATGATCTGAGTCCCCTGGGGTGTTTTTTTTTTTGTCCCCCTCCCCAAAAAGGTGAGCGTTTTGAGTTCCCAGCAGTGGAGGATGATGTGATCTACGATGATGTCCCCTGTGAAACCCTCGATGCTGAGCAGGATGGTGAGGACAGAACCTTCCCCCCCCTCCCAGATGTTCCCCAGGGACCACGAGCCCATTTTACAGCTGGGGAAACTGAGGCACGCTCTGGGAAGGAGAAGCTCATCCTAAAAGAGCTTGTGAAGGGGGGGATAACCCTGGAAAAACTGCTGGGATTCGGGGAGGGATGAAGGGAGATGTGTTCCCAGTGGGGCTGCAGGACACTGAAGGTTTGGGTGGGTTTCCTGTGGGTCCCTGGGGAGGGGGAAAACTGCCTTTTTGGAAGGGAAAGGAGCTGATTTTTGCCTGCCAGGCCCGGGGACGGAGCAGAACCTGATCTACGAGGAGGTGCAGCGTGGTGAGGGGCCACGGGCGGGCGAGGATTTGGGCTGGAGCTCCAGTGAGTTCGAGAGCTACAGCGAGGACTCGGGGGAGGAAACCAAGCCAGAGGCCGAGCCAGCCAAGCAGCGGGCATCCTTCCAGCCCAAGGTAACACTTGAATTTGGTTTTTTATTCTTATTTTTATTATTTTCCATTTTTTTCCTTCTTTTTTTTTTTTTTTTTCTTCTTTTTCCCCCCAAACACTTTGGTCACCAACTCCAAAAGACTTTATTCAACAACTTCAGCAAAGTCAATTTGTAGTGTGGATTAGTGATGGAGTTTTTAACATGTTCCCTGTAATTCAGGTGCCATTCCAGCAGCAATCAGCAGATAATGCTTCATACAAGAGCTTCAGAAGCAATACAAGATGAAGAGTACTCACACCAGGCATTGTGTTAAAGTTGGAAGCACAAACATTGGGCAAATCCAGGTCAGGATCTACAGTCTTGGGAAAAAGTCCAAGAACACTTCACACCAATCATCATATTAATGACATTCAAAGTAGAGACTCCAAACAAATCCACCCATCCTTTGACTTCTTCACAACCTCAAACTGAAAAAAAACGTGCAAAAAAGCCCAGACTCAACAAGTCGTGAAAAGTTTTAACTCTGCAACAAGCAGAAAAAGAAAAAAAAAATTCATCATGTTCTTTCAGGACTTTTCCATGTTATGCTTGAGTTCTTATTACTATATAATATCATAAAGGAAAAGAAGAATGTATTTAATAGGGCCAGAAAAGAATGTCATATTATATAGCTTGATCACACAGTACCCTTTCACCAAAAAAAAAAAAAAAAAATCTAGGTGAAATTAAGAAAAAAGACAACCATATCATTGCGAAAGGAGAGGGAAGTTTTGCAAACGAGCATATAGATAACCTATTAATTGGTGTAGACAGATGTATGCTGTAATAAGCAATCTTTAGTGTCAAGATAGTTTCTTACCACAGATCCAGTTCTGTATAGTCTTTGTTAAGCCACTACATATGAAATGTTGTGGTTATTTTTATATGTATATGAAAACAAAACAAAACACTTTCGATGACACTGGGGATAAAAGAGGAGGAGGGGATAACTACCCACCTACCCCAAGGCACTGCAAAAAAACCTGTGGGCAAAAGTGGTAGGAAACAGCTAGTTTGTTAGTGTGGTTATGGATTTATACATGATTTATGATTATAAGAAATCCATGCAATTCCTGCTGTAAAGGATAAATTAAGACATGCATAGACGACTATTAGAAAGAGTAAAAATTGTGAAATGAAAGAGTAGACTCCCAAAAATGATTTTTTTTTTTTTTTTGCAGATCAATTTCAAAGTTACTAAAGGGGCAATAGGAGGAGGGGGGGGGGAAATGAGAAAAAAAGCCATCAGGCTTCAGAGAGAAAGCATGTAGGTGGATTAATTCATGGCTATCTGTCCCAGAGAAATGAGGTGATAAAACAAACTAGACTCCTCCTCGACAAGTGAGAAGACAAGGAGATGTCACCTTAGTCATTCCCCACCCAATTCTGATCACCGAGAAAGGAAAGGAACTCATTCATTGCACACAGGCACTGGCAGTGTTTCCCCAACCCATCCCACCCACATGAAGGCACAAAAGGAGAATACATTATTCTCCCAACTCCCCTTTAATTAGTCAGTGGGAAAGAAACTCCGGTGCTGTACTCCCCCGTTCCAGTTCTGTTATTTATTAAGGGAGAACCACGCTCTAATTCCCCACATCCTCTATTTCATTTTAGGAGACCACGGAGGAAAGAGGGCACATGCTACACTCTCCCACTCTTCCACACTCCTCCTCACAGTACTACAGAGCAGAATGAAGAAAGAGGCAGAGTATCTCTTCTTCTCCTCTCCTTTCACACACTGACACCACGATAGTCCCTGCTCTGCTCCCTGCAGGGAGGATGGAAAGGCAGAAACCCTTTCTGGTAAGAAATGTGTACACGGAGGGACAAGTCCAGCATCTCTGTCTGTTTGAGTTCATATTTCATGGGGAGCTAAAGGAACTGGAGGGGGAGCCAGCTACCACCCCTTAGATGGGGAGAGGAGGTGGGGTGCAGGCTGAACCAGCATCCCCTTCCCCTTGAATCCTCTCTGTCTCTGAAAGGCCAAAGGAAGAAGTGAACGCACGGGACTAGCATCCTCTTGGATTCCTGCCACATTGCAAAGGGAAAGGATGGATAATAAACACATAAGATTAGCACCCCTTCCCCCTGGGTCTCCACTGCATCCATTGCAAAAGGAAAAGGAGTGTGTGCGTGGGTAGAGCCAGCATCCCCTGGGTCCCTGCTGTGCTGCAAAGGGAGAAGGGCGAGGGAGGTGTGGATGGGACCCGCAGCCCTTTCCTCCTGGGTCAACGAGAGGGAATGGCTTCAAGCTCCAACAGGGTAGGTTTAGATTGAACATTAGGAAAGAATTTTTCACCGAAAGAGCGATAGGGCATTGGAACAGGCTGCCCAGGGAGGTGGTGGAGTCCCCATCCCTGGCTGTGTTTAAGGGCCGTTTAGATGCAGTGCTGAGGGACATGGTGTAGGGGTTGACCTTGTAGAGTAGGGTAGATGATTGGACTCGATGATCCCAAGGGTCTCTTCCAACCTAGACGATTCTATGATTCTAAGTGTGGGACCAGCAAGCTCCTGGGTCCCCAATGCACTGCAGGAGAAAAAGTGTGGGGGGGTAGGGAGGTGTGGATGGCACCCCCTGCTCCCCAGAGCACTGCTGGGAGGGTGGGGGGCAGTGGATGCCCCTTTCCCTTTGGTCCCGCACACAGCGAGGGGAAAAGGATGGGAGGACGCACATGGACCAAGAGCCCTCTCCTCTGCAACGGGGGGCAGAGCACCTGGGACTCGCACCCCCCTCCCCTCGGCTCCCTTATGGCAAAGGAGGGGAAAAGCTCAGGGACGAGCATCATCCCCTCCTGCTGGCTCCCACCGGCAGGGAAACGGGGGAGCGGGAAGGGCCGGGACCGGCATCTCCCGGCCCCCGGGCGCTGCTGAGGGAGAAGGGGTGGATCCAGCACCTCCATGTCGTTCAGCGAAGGACAGGACGAGCATCCCCTCTCCTTCTCTCCCCCGCCGCACCGGAGCCGGCGACTTAACCCTCCTCTCTCCCCCCCGCCCAGAGGACGCTCCATGGCCGCCCCCCACAGCGCCGTCTCCGGGAGCAGGTGTCTCTGCCCTTAGCGAGCGAAGCGGCCGCCGAGGGGCTGAAAGAACGGCATTCCTGAGGGAAAACCCCTGCCCGTCTTCACATCCCACCACCGCTCCGCGACGCCCGGGTCCCCCCCGCCGTTACCTCAGCGCCGGGTCCCGCCGCTCCCAGCCGGCTCCTTCCCTCAGGTGGCGGCGGAGGCAGCGGCCGCGCCTCCTCCTCCTCCTCCTCCTCCCGCCGCAGCGCCCGCCCCGCCCCCTCCGCGCCGTCACGCCCTGCCGCGCCCCGCCCCTCGCCCTGCCGGAGTCCACGAGCCAATCAGAACGCGCCGAACTGGTTGCTAGGTAGAGTGGAACCGCCGGCTCCCCCCTGCGCTGGTGGGAGGTGATTGGCTGGCGGCTTCCCCTGGGGAGGGAGGGGGCCGCGGGAAGCGGTTGCCATAGCGACGGGAAGCGGCCTTGCGGGAGGAGTAGGCCGCGCCGCCCGCGGGCGGGGAGGAGGAGGAGGAAGGTAAGGGGCGGCCCGGCCCGGCGCTGGGGGGTGACCGGGGGTCTGAGGGGACACGAGGGTGGACGGATCCCCTGGGTACACGAGGCTGGGCGGGGGGTGCGTGGGGCAGGGTAACAACCGCGGTGGGGCACGTGCTTTGGTGTTAAAGGCATCCCATTTAGTCAAGTCACAGGTGACAGGATGAGAGGAAATGGCCTCAAGTTGCGCCAGGGGAGGTTCAGGCTGGGTATTAGGAAAAATTTTGTCACTGAAAGGGTTCTCAGGCATTGGAATGGGCTGCCCAGGGAGGTGGTGGAGGCACCATCCCTGGAGGTGTTCAAAAGACGGAGCGGCCGCGCCTCCTCCACCTCCTCCTCCCGCCGCAGCGCCCGCCCCGCCCCCTCCGCGCCGTCACGCCCTGCCGCGCCCCGCCCCTCGCCCTGCCGGAGCCCACGAGCCAATCAGAACGCGCCGAACTGGTTGCTAGGTAGAGTGGAACCGCCGGCTCCCCCCTGCGCTGGTGGGAGGTGATTGGCTGGCGGCTTCCCCTGGGGAGGGAGGGGGCCGCGGGAAGCGGTTGCCATAGCGACGGGAAGCGGCCTTGCGGGAGGAGTAGGCCGCGCCGCCCGCGGGCGGGGAGGAGGAGGAGGAAGGTAAGGGGCGGCCCGGCCCGGCGCTGGGGGGTGACCGGGGGTCTGAGGGGACACGAGGGTGGACGGATCCCCTGGGTACACGAGGCTGGGCGGGGGGTGCGTGGGGCAGGGTAACAACCGCGGTGGGGCACGTGCTTTGGTGTTAAAGGCATCCCATTTAGTCAAGTCACAGGTGACAGGATGAGAGGAAATGGCCTCAAGTTGCGCCAGGGGAGGTTCAGGCTGGGTATTAGGAAAAATTTTGTCACTGAAAGGGTTCTCAGGCATTGGAATGGGCTGCCCAGGGAGGTGGTTGAGGCACCATCCCTGGAGGTGTTCAAAAGACGGGTTGATGTAGTGCTGGGAGGTCTGGTTTAGTGATGGGGATGCTTCTTGTTTGTTGTGTGGGTGTCTATTTTTGTCAGTTGGGTTGACGGTTGGACAAGATGATCTTTAAGGTCCCTTCCAACCTAGAAGATTCTGTGATTCTGTGATTTTGGGGGGTCTGGGGTCCTCTAAGACCTTCTTGGATTCTTCTTCTGCATCCAGGCAGGCCGGCTGTTGGCTGCTTTTGTCTTGTTGATTTACAGCCTCTGCTGAGGGTTGTCGCCTCCTTATCTTCTGCTTGATGCTCCTTGTGCACCTGTGCTCGCTGGCAAAACATGGGGAACTGAAAAGTCCCAGGCTTCGGGAAAAACACTATGAAAACATCAGTGTATTACCAAGATTTACCTCATACTAAAAGGCTAAACACAGCACTGTACCAGCTGCTAGGAAATTTACTAGGAAAATTAACTCTATTGTGGCCTAAAGGCTTTGGCGAACCTAGCTTCTTTATCTTCTGCTTGATGCTCCTTGTGCACCTGTGCTCGCTGGCAAAACATGGGGAACTGAAAAGTCCCAGGCTTCGGGAAAAACACTATGAAAACATCAGTGTATTACCAAGATTTACCTCATACTAAAAGGCTAAACACAGCGCTGTACCAGCTGCTAGGAAATTTACTAGGAAAATTAACTCTATTGTGGCCTAAAGGCTTTGGCGAACCTAGCTTCTTATGCTAAGTGAAGCTGGGCAAACAGCATAAATCACGCCGTATTATAAACCGAAGTAATTTAGTCTAATTAAAACTTACTTACGTGAGCTAAACAACTCAAGAGCAGGGCACTGGGGGGGACAAACGCAGTGTGGCATGGGGAGGGGGATACAAACGCAGGGGGAGTCAGAGGGAGAGTGGAAAGAGAGGGGAGTACAAACTCCATAGGGTATGTGGAGGGGGTAATGGATTAGACAGGATGCAGGGAGGGATTCTGATGGAAAGATGGAAGACCCCAGTGTGCCCATGCTGTGAGGAGAGAGGATCTCTGATGTACCCCGTGGAGAAAGTCTGAATGCGATGGTGGGGGACACTGAGGCACAAAGGGCCTGGGGTTGCCCATCTGCCAGCACTGCCAGGCCTGGTGACAGAGGGGATTGGTGTTGCCTTTGGGTCCCAGGAGAGATTTCAGTGTGTGAGTGCACTTAGAAACATAAATGCTCAAAGGGACAGGGCATAAAGACATCACGCAAAGAGGATAAATGGGTGGAAAAAGCACTAATATCTATTGATGCAAGCGCTGAGCAGCTGGGGTTCGCTACTGACTTTTAAAGTGGAGCAGGGAAAGCCATCAGGGCATCACAGGAGATGGGGGTGCTGGGCAGTGTAACTCTATGTGCTGCAGGACTAGGGAAGTTCTGGTGGACTTTGAGGTAAGAGCATCATGGATCATCCAACTGCATAACAGAATATAAATCCAGCAAGGCTTGAGGGAGCTTTATTCTCTAGGGGTAAAAAGGACCTTGCTGTTGTTTTATTTAGGAGAGGAAAAGTGTTCAGGATCAATACTGACCAGTTCCCCTGGGTGTAATGTAACTGGGACTATGCAGTGCTTTGACAGCTCCTGGGAGGACGTTGGCCCTGCAGGACACAAGGAGACTGAGACAGAGCAGGGGTGGGAGTTAGAACTTCTGGGCTCTGAGCGGATCTTGGAGAACGTCTGTAATGTGGACACAGAGGAGAGCAGTCAGGTATTGACACCACCAGGGAGGGGAGATAGCTGGGTTTCTTGGAGACCAAAGAGGGTGCTGGTCCTTTGGAGCTGAATGGTGCTGTGGGATAAAAGAGGTATTGACACCACCAGGGAGGGGAGATAGCTGGGTTTCTTGGAGACCAAAGAGGGTACTGGTCCTTTGGAACTGAGTGGTGCTGTGGGATAAAAGGAATAAGGATAGGATAGGACCAAAAGTTAAAGCATATTATTAAGGTCATTGTCCAAATGCCTCTTGAATACTGACAGGCTTGAGGCATCAACTGCCTCTCTAGGAGGCCCATTCCAGTGTTTGACCACCCTCTCATTAAAGAAATGCTTCCTATTATCTAGTCTGAACCTCCCCTGATCCATCTTTGAGCCATGGTTATGAAGAGAATGGATATGGAAGTTAAAGCAGCATGGCAAGGGCATTGGTAGGAGGCAGTGGTGTAGAGGAGCACAAGGGACTGGGAGTAAAGAAATGCTTCCTATTATCTAGTCTGAACCTCCCCTGATGCATCTTTGAGCCATGGTTATGAAGAGAATGGGTATGGAAGTTAAAGCAGCATGGCAAGGGCATTGGTAGGAGGCAATGGTGTGGAGGAGCACAAAGGACTGGGAGTCTGTTGGTCATTGGAGAATATCACCTCTGGGATGGTATATGGAGATACCAATGCCCTGGTGGGCAACATGGAGCAGTGAGGAATGCAGAGTTTGTTATTCACTGCCTGGGATAAAGGCGATCATAGGGGTACTCAAACCTTGGGTTCTTGTGCACAGAGATGCACAACAGGTTGCCCAGAGAAGCTGTGGCTGCCCCATCCCTGGAGGGGTTCAAGGCCAGGTTGGACAGGGCTTTGAGCAACCTGGTCTGGTGGGAGGTGTCCCTGCTCAGGGCAGTGGGTTGGAATTAGAAGGACATGGACCTGTTGGAGCAGGTCCAGAGGAAGCCCCAAAGATGATCCAAGGGCTGGAGCACCTCTCCTATGAGGACAGGCTGAGAGAGTTGGGGTTGTTCAGCCTGGAGAAGACAAGGCCCCGGGAGACCTTATAGTGGCCTTCCAGTATGTGAAGGAGGCCTACAAGAAAGCTGGCGAGGGACTTTTTACAAGGGCAAGTAGTGATAGGACAAGGGGGAATGGTTTAAAATGAAAGAGGGGAGATTTAGATGAGATCTCAGGAAGAAATTTTTCACTGTGAGGGTGGTGAGACCTTGGCCCAGGTTGCCCAGAGAAGCTGTGGCTGCCCCATCCCTGGAGGGGTTCATGCCATCAGAGCAGACGTGTTAACTGAGGACAGGGTGTCACTGTGCAAAGTGCAGGTGATGAATGGGGAAGGTCTGGGTGATACCAGTGCTTTGCAGCTCGTGGGTTAAGGGCTAGCTAGAGGGAAAGGAGGAATGCAGTATTGGCCTCCTTGTTGTAAATCATTGCAAATGCTCACTTAGCCTCCTGCCCTCCTCCTCCTGCCATCTTTCTAGGTCTCCTCCTACATATGAAGATCTGTTTCACGTTATCTTTTCCACCCAGAGCTATCCTCTTGAATTTTTCCATTTTGAATGCCCTGTAGTTTGGCTTACATTCTAGATTGTTTTTCTGTTGCTGCTGTTTAAAGCATTTCTTCCATAGCATCAATCATCTCGCTGTTTATTGTCGATAGAATAATTTACAATAAAAATGACTTTCCTGTCTGAGCTTGAGACTGATTCCCTTAAATTCTGTTTATTTGCAACTGAGCTCCTTGCCTCTGCCACTGTAGTCACATGGATCAATGTGATCAGGCTCTTTCTCTACAAAAATGCATCCTTAAACCTCTGAGCGCCGGGCTCTGTTGAACCACAAAGGCTTACTGTTAGAGAGATGTGGTCAAAAACATTAATAAAGCGGGTCTGCTCTTAAAGGACTTGTTTTGAGTATGGTTTGCACAAACCTCTGGAATGCCATTCCAGAGGGTTAAGCAGAGATTAACCCAGCTAAAGGAAACGATCCCAATGGCCTTAGTTAATATGATATGATCATTATGTATTGTTAATCTTTCTTAAATGCAATCACATTTTTTTTAAACCCGGGGCTTGACCCAACTTGTACTGATATCAGGGAAAGTATTTCCATTGGTTTCAGCAGGATTTCGAGCAGTCTTCAAATTATCTTGCTGTGAGACAACGCCATTCGTCGTTCCTGCCCTGTGAAATTAATGTATGTCTTCTTCATATATCTCAAAACACACATACCTCTGGGTTCTCCACTCAGTACATCCTTTCATTCAAACTGTGAACCATGCCTAGGTGCTCTCTGGCTGCATTAACTCAGGCAGTTTTGCTCTTTTTTAATATTTGTGCTCTGCCAGGCTCACCTGCTCTCTGCCAACCGTGTACGGTAACTGCTTTGAAACAGCTGGAGATCTCTGACCAACTTGGCGTAAAGTTAAACACAACCAGCTTGAAAACACCATATATACTCCTAAAACTCAGTCTTTCCCCTAAATCTCTTTTGCACTGATATTTATTATGCCTGCCACCTGCTCCTCCATTGCCTTTTTATTTTTCCTAAGAGAAAGATATTGGATATTTTTTTAGCATCATGTTTCAATGGCTTTTCTTCTCTGGGTAGTGAACCAGCAGCATTTTCCTTACATATATTTAAAGCTTGATTTCTTGTTAACCTCATCTTGCTTTTTTTGCTGGTTGAATGTTTTCAGATCAGCCGAGCTTGGTGAATTTCATCCCGGGATACGTGAAGAACAAGCTGGAGCAATCTCTGGAATGTTATTTTGGGCAACCAAGGGAAACACGTGCTCTGAAGTGACACTGCACAGTCCTGACTTCACCAAAGAATTCATCCCGAAAACGCACGCCGCTGAGGTTGGAACTGGGGTTGCCTCCCTCCCCTTATCGCGATTTTGAGTGTAGCTGGGGGGCTGAGGAGCAGAGGGGAGGGTGGTTGTGTGACTGTGGTAGCAAAGAGGCAGTGAGGGAGGCATGGCAGCCTGGCACATCACGTACAAAGTTAAAATATTTGGCTATGCCCACCTTTTTGCCTGATACAGCCCTGTTTACGCATTGTGCTCAAATCAAATGCGATTCCAGTGGTTTTATGGCATATGACTTCTGCTGTGGGCCATATATTTAGGACCACAAGAGGGTCCAGAGGCACGACTGTCTCTCTGGGCTGTGAGCTGTTAACACACCAGCTTGTGGAGGTGCTTTGTGAACACAGCTCCTCCAGCCCCAAGAACCCAGTGTCTGCGTGGGGAAACTGGAACAGGAATCCAGGGTTGGGAGTGTGCCCCAGTGACAACTGATGGTTTTGTGACTAATGGAGAAGGTTGTCCCTGAAAAACAGGACATGGTTGCCTGAACCTGTTTTTTTGGCAGTGGAGCGGTTTCTGTAGCTTGTAATGTTGTATTTCTGGGCATTGGAAAGGGCAGGGGCCTTGCATAAAAACAAAACAAAACAAAAACAACCCAGTAAGCGATCCCATCATAATGTGTATCCCAAATGCACCTACTCAGTTGCACAAGAAGCCTCCAACATTGGCCAACTACAGGATGTGAAGCTTTGAAACCTTAGGAATTCTTTTAGCTTTCAGTGGCTTCTCTGTGGGAAGTTAAAATTTCAGTGTGCAGACAATAAGTTATTTAAAGATCTTTAGCAAAAAAATAAAAATAAAAAGAGAGAAAGATCTCAGACTCTTCTAATGAACTTATTTCCTAACCACAGACCATCACCAGATGCAGGGAGCAAGATATAACAGATTTTTCTTTTCTTTTTTTTTTTTTGCTTTGTACTTCTTTGATTCCATAATAACTTAGGAAAGAAAGGGAGGAAAAACTAATCAAAAAAGGTGATGTGCCCAGACAGATCCTGCAGTGGGTTTTGAAGATTAATCTTCCATTGATATAAACAGGAATTTCGTCTGGGTAAGGAATGGGGGACTGGGCTTTCATGCCAGAGCTCTAGTAGCTGAAAAAGTCCATTTTCTGGGTGGTTTTTAGGTGTCTGAGTTCAGAGTAGGCTGACAAGCAATTCAGAGTTCCTTAGTGGAGTTGCCTTTCCTTTTGTTCCAAAAGTCCTATTATTCATCTTGCCACCACGAAGCTTTAAAGCAATCTGAAGTGTTTATGGGAAAATTGCCTTCTAATTATATGCAGGGAACAGATATTTTTTTTAATGTGGTAAAGAAATGACTTGGTTTTCAGGCTGCTGCAGCTTAAGCCTCCCGTCTGGAAACTGGATGCCTGGGGTGAGCAATGACACTATCCTGCTGAATCCAGCTGCAGGATAGAAGATGAAAGAAAAAAGGCTTTTGCTATGTTTGGGAAAAAAAAAAAAAAAAATTGATGAAGGAATGGCTTTGTTTGACCGTGGTCCAGTTATTTGATGTCACAAAAGGGAAAGGAAAATTTTGTGAAATGACCTATTTACTTCACACAGGAATTTTTTGTTTAAAAGAGCAGCAGAGTCAGTCCTGACCATCAAAACCAATCTGCCTGAAAGCAGGACCCTGAGAGATTTCAGTCAATTCTGAACCATTCTGGATTTCATTCTTTCAGTTAAGCGTTATAGAAACAAACTGGCCCTTTGAGACTTGGCATTATATACCCATCAAAATGAGTAAAAACCTCACTAGTGTCACTTAAGTTGACGCACAAGTTATCTGCAATCTTCAGTGCCGACAACAGCCAAGAGAAATTTTGTGTACTTTCTAGCTGGCTGCAAATACCCTGTTGTGGTTGTTCATGCAGCAAAAATCAAAGGCATATTCAATAACAATTGTGATGGGGAAGATTTGCTTAATTCTTAAGTATTTATATCACATTAGTGCACCAGGGTATCATCAGAAAATCTGGCCTTTACTGTTACTGTGGGTGCATAAAATAAAAGGCCTTACCCTAACTGACTTTCAGCTGATTTTACTTGTATCATTGTTATGCTACGAAATCCTTGGATTCCTTCTTAAAATTATTTGGTTTTCACTAACACACTGTGAGGGAGGAGCACAGAGATAACGTTGGTCTTTGTTCTGTTCAGTTGTTGTAGCCACTAGAACTGAGAAGACACCCGAGGACCCACCACCTCCCCTGTTTATGGCATTCGCACCTCCTAGAAACATGGATGGCCTCAAGCTACAGACCAAGATGAGCACATGGACTCCACTGAACAATCAACTCATGAATGACAAGGCAAGTTCCATGCAAATGGGTCAAATTCATAGAATTACACAATTGTTGAGGTTGGAAGGGACTTCTGGAGAACATCTAGTCTGATCCCTCAAGGCAAAGTCAGCTGGAAGCATTTGCTCGGGATGTCGTCCAGTCGGTTTTTGAATATTCTCAAATCCCAAGACAAATTCTCGGGTTCATGTCACAAATTCTCAAGTCCTAGAGAAATTTAACTTATGTTTTTACCTGTGTAGGTCATGAGTCATGGCATACGATCGTAAAGATTTTGTAAAAATTGAAAAACTGGAAGTTCTAATACGCATTGTTTAAAGCATACAAGTATTTAGTTCAAGTATTGTATTTACCAAATCAGTTGTTTTTAAACAAAAAAAGCTCATTCAATGATTAGTGAAAGTTGCCAAATTATTCTTTCTTTCCTGCTCCAGAAGACTTTCATTTAACTCCAGAGCAAATGGAGTGTCAGTGTTACCTTCCAAGTGGTCGATGCGCTCAATCTTTTGTAGGAGAGACCTCAGAACCCGTGCTCTGGCCTCTCTGCTAAGCCTGGCAGTGACAAGCTTGATATTTTGGAAGCTGAAGTGATGCATTTAATTTATAAATAACGAGATGCATTTCCTGACCTCCCACTCTGTGTACTATATCTGGGATCTGCAAACATAACTGAGGGGGGTTTGGCTCATGTATCACCAGGAACATATTCCTCCCTCAGAATTCAGTTTAAATTTCTGGGCCATTACATCATGTAGTCTGGCATCCTGGATTTCTTGGGCCCTCTTGTTTCTCACAGCTCTCCCAGTCTTCATCTCAGGAACTAGAATTTGGCTAAAATATCTCTTCCATGAAGGTATCCAGACTTCCTTTGGGGTTATAAAAAAATGAAAAGTTCATCACTTCCCTGATAATTTTCTCATGATTAATCCCCTATACCATGAAAAGATGAAACCTTGTCTCCTGTCTGAATACTTCTAACATTAGTTTCCATCATTTAAATCTTCCCCTGCTAGCTTATTAAACTCTTCTGTAACCAGTAGTTTTTCCTTGTGGAAGGACTTTTACCCTACTTCAAGCCAACGCTTGAACTTTTTTTGATAAACTAAACAGATTGAGTTCTTTGAAGTCCTTTCAATCTGGCATATTCTCCAGCCTTTGAATCATTTTAATGTCTGTTTCCTTACACTCTTTAAAACATATTTGTACAGATGCACATCACTGTGCAATAAAGTATGAGCTAACTAGAAAGAAGTATGTGGGTAAAACCACCCTTCCCACCTTCTTATTCATCTGCTCCTTACACAGTCTCATGTTGCATTGGGCTGCAGCAAAACTTTTAGGAGCTCATATTGGATTCTTGTCTTTTGTAAAAATACAAAACAATGTTTTATTTTAAAATCCAATGCTTAATGATGCTCCAGGGAAGCAAGAACTTGCTGTAATCTCCCAGACCTGTGCTCAGGAATGTACTTGTTAATAGAACAGGCCATGAGGGGCAGGAGTGGTGGGAATTCAGAGCTGATCCAAGGCAGAAGTGTTTAAGCTCCATCTAAAGCATTGTTAGGAGCAGACCCAAGAACAGTTAGTAGAATAAATTTGCTACCTGGCTAATTTTGGGTAATCCTGGGGGGACTCCATTAGTCGTTTCTGTAGATTTCCCTGGATTTTCAAACACACTTAAGAGAACACTTACCTGCATTGTTGGTAGGACCCCTCTCTCTCCTACCTTTTGTACATCCTGGGTCCTGCTGCCTCCATCTGTGGTTTTCTGCCCTTACAGCAGCTGTGGGAGCAGAAAAGGCTATCCAGGGTGTGTCACTACTGGGGTATGGCCAGTCATGATCATTTTAAAGCCAGGATCCCCATCAGGGACAGACCAAAGTCAAGAAATCAGAATTGGGAAACCTCGAATTCATGGTCAGAAAACCAGAGGTGGAGTCTTAGCTGTGCCAAAGTTGTGCTACAGCTAAGGATGGAGTGAAGGCAGGAGGCAGGACAGCCTGCTTGCCTGCAGCAAAACCAGACAGACTTCAGCGTCAGCCCTGCTAAGGAAGGACTGGAAGTTGGGAGATGATTTACCTTCTGCTGGGCAGTGATTCAGTCGTGGGGCTGAAGAGCCCCCAGTGGCATTTGCAGCAAGGGCTGGAGGATTTTGCCAGGCAGCCTTGAACTTGAGCTTATTTACAACTACCTGAAGGCATGGATGGCAGGTCTCAAGAGCAACCTAAGCCTCAGGCTGTGTCCAAAGCCAGCCAGCTTAGGTACAACTCCAAGGCCTTGGAGGAGAGGACAGTAAACACGGGCTTGATTAAGGCAGTGGATGATTATACCAATTTTGGGCCATTCTGCTGCTAATTAATGCTTCCAAGTGCCTGGAGTAGGCAGAACTTTCTGACAGAGTTGGCTCAGATGTATCTCCAAGAATGCTGAGAGCAAATGTGTGTCTTTCTTTGATCAAAGACCATTAACATTGCTTTCAGTTATATAAATACATCCCTGCTTCATTTGAATTATCCAACCCAAAACTTAGATCTTTGACTATTCATCACTTGCTTGTGGCAAATCCTTTTCCAAGTTCAGCTTGTTAGGGTTTGTTTTGTTTTGTTTTGTTTTGTTTTTAACTTTGCCAAGTGTCCCACAAGCAAATAAAGCAAATAATAACTGTCAACATACAAATAAAAGAAATGTCATTTTCCACCCCTTGCAAGAGACACTCCTGCTGAGAGAGACAGAACTAACACTGTCAACTGCAGTACCAGACATCAGCACTGATAATGTCTTTCTCTGCAGGAACCTTCTTCGCAGGCTGTCATAGCAATAACATGTTTGGAGTTCATAATGATCGAGCGTGTTTTCCTCGTTGTGGTTAATAGCTGTTTTTATGTGCAGTTATAAGCTGGGCTTTTTCTTCTTTGATCTGTCTTCTGGAAAAATCATCTACAGCATTTCCTCACTTCCCAGGTCACAATCCTGAGTAGAGAAGGCAGTTTTGTGGTAGTGGGAAGCCACGTGCTAGTACTTTCAGGTCTAGCTCCCCATGGATAAAGGTCAACATCATAAATCCTGCACTGTGTTTTGATACTGATCATCCTTCTTGTTAAGTGTCACTGTGAAATGGCCAGGGAACAAAGGCTGGTCTCAGTCTCTTACTCCTGATGGTTTTGCTGCATCAAGATTGAAGCCATCACTTGGGCTATATGATAGTTGTATCCCTTCTAGGAGCTTTCAAGCATCCAGTGTCTCCAGCTTGGTAAAACTGAAATTTCGAAAATAAAGAGATGAGAAGCCCAGTTTCTGGTCACACCGAAGCATGTGAGATGCCACGCATCACAGTATGCCCAAGAGAGTAGGGCGCTATGGTGGCACATCGTGTGTGCAGTAGCTGCAAAGAAGAAGGTCTGCAGAGCTGTCCTTCACAGTTGTGCACACATAGCCTTTGAACTTTAGGGGTTCTTCTTCAGTGAAAGGAACGTTCCACAGGAACCAGCCTGTAGAACTGAAGAAGATCAGAAAGGGGCCTTCCTCAGACAACCGGAGGAAGCCTCATGTTCATGGGCAGTGGTCCTCATGGGGAGCTTTAACCAGCCTGATATCTGCTGGAAGGGCAACACGGCAGGGCACATGCAATCCAGGAGGTTTCAGGAATGTATTGACAATAACTTCCTGGCACAGGTCATCGAGGAACCAGTAAGAAAGATGTGGACTTACTGGAACAAAGCCACTACAGGGCTGGAAAAATTATTAAGGAATTGGAGAATTTGATGTATAGGGAAGGGTTGAGACGTGTGTGGTTGCTCAGCCTAGAGAAGAGAGGACCTTATCAATGTGTATAGATATGTGATGAGAAGGATTAAAGAAAACAGAGACAGACTCTTCTTGGTGACATCCAGTGAAAAGACAAGAGGCGATAGCCACAAATTGAAATACAAGAAATTCCACTTAAACATAAGAAAAAACTTCCTTGCTGTGAGGAGTTGCCACAGAGGTTGTGGGGTCTCCATCCAAGAAGATATTCAAAACCCATCTGGATGTGGCCCTGAGCAATCTGCTTTAGTTGACCCTAGCAGGGAGTTTGGACTAAAAGATCTCCATAGCTTCCTTCCAAACTCTTCCAGTCAGTGACTTTGTCTATATTTTGTAGGTTACATTGATTGTTTTTCAAGCTGCATTTTTCTTACGATATATTGAATCCCCTTTAAGTATTCACTTTTATTTGTATGTGTATCTTTTGTAGGTATTTGAAGAAAGAAGAGCCCTACTTGGAAAATGGGTAAACTTTTCCCTTTAAATATATATTTAAATACAGCTGGATTTCTGAACTGATCAAGAGATTGCTGTAATGGGAATGTAAAGCATTGGAAAAGGGGGGTTTGGAGAAAGGGTTTTGGAAAAGGGGTTCATTTTCCTGATGCAGATGTGAAAGTGAGTGAGCTGTAACTGCTTTACTTTTGAGGAAGGTAAAAGTGTAAATTCCCTCAGTGTCCGTATTCTGTAAGTTCTGAACTTGGGAAATCATATTCCATCATCAGAATGATCTGAAATGGGATAAGAAGCCGTGGGAAAAGTCTGTGAAGTCTTCAAAGAAGCTACTGGATGTTGAGGTATTGCCTCAACATCCTGTTTGCAGCCTGCTAGCAGCCCTTTGAAAATACTAATAAATAGGGTGTTATCTACCGAGCACACACAGGTGCTGTAATCATTGAGCACCTCACAATCTTTTACTCTCTTTATCTTCCCAGCTCCCACATGAGACAGGGAAGTGCTGTCACCCTCTTTTGCAGATGAAAAAATGAGGCACGGAAAGACATGAGATGGGATTTGTCTCCCCTCAACCACAAATGACTGCGAGTTAGACATTGGGGATGGGGTTTCTCTGGTGTCTGTGTCTGAAACAATATTTAAGCCTGGCTGGTTTGGTCATTACAGGCTCCTTGTACAGTCAACAGAGAGAAAGGGGTACTTCCAGGGGGTAATTAACCTCATTTAATGTAGGATTAAAGAACAGCCCTCTAGAGATGCCTTTTTCTTTCTGTAGCCTGTGAAGGGAGTCGTAACTGGCTGCTGGAAAGGAGTAAAACTCTAATGGACCTGCCCAGGAAGCTGATGGCAGAGCATGCAATGGCACAAGATTTGCCCTAGTCCTAAGCTCACCTCTTAAATATCACATTGTGCTTTCTCTTTTATAAAGCAAAATCCATTTATAGGAAAGCAGCCCTAATCTGCTCTGTCTCCTGCACAAACAGGAGCACAGACTCAGGGACTTTACTGCAATAAATGAGTGAATTCACCGGAATGTATTAATGTGAGCCCTCTGCACATCTTCATAAACAGAACCAAAGAACCAGCTACGTGGTCACATGAGACACACAAACTAAACAGAACTATAGAAATGATGCTTTTTATCAGCACACTTTGAAAAAGTGCATTTGCACAGTAACTTTATTTGAAGTATGATGCTTATTATTTATGCCTAACAGGTCACTCATGGAAATTTTTTGCATATGAACTGGCCTTTACAGACAAGCTCATAGGGATTGTTCATCTTTATATGAAATATGCTTTCTATAACTTGTTGACATGCATGCATTTTGATAATAAGGAATTTCATGGATGCTAAGGAAACAAAATGATTGAGTGCTGTTGTTCAAAACCTGCCTTTTAGCAGGATAGTCAGGAACTGACAGACCTAAAACCTGCCTCTTGAAAATGATTGGGTGTTTTAAAATGCCCATGGGATGTACCATGGCAAAAGGGCAAAAATGTTTTCATTAGAACCCCCACTGAAACAGCCCAAATCGGGAAACAGCCTTCCTCCAAACACACATGAGAGTGCTGAATCATCTTCTGAGAGGTTAAATTTCTGACCCTTCATATGACACTAGATCAGTAGCTCTCATCACGCTCCTCAGAGCTAATTCTCCTTGCGCTTCTGTCATCCATCACACCAATGAAAAGGGTGCAGAAAGCACAAAAGCTGCTCTTAACTCCCTTCAAAGCCTGCGGGGTTATCCGACGTGGTATGTGAAGCCTGGAGCACTTTGAGTTTGGGAGAAACCGTGTCAAGAAATCACGGTGCTCTTGGCAGGACTTTTTATGTCGATTCACATGACCCTCCCATAGCCCTCTCAGAAAGTGCAGAGCAGATGAAACTGCTGGAGGCAAGGGTGGTGTGGCTGGGAACCCACAGTCAGTGTAGTTGTTAGTGCTTTATTAGGAAATTGGACAGCTGAAGTCTATCCTAAGTCCAGGACTGTTAAGCATTTTCGGTAATATCTAGATGATGGAATGGATAATATGCTTATCTGCAGGTGATACCAGGCTTGGAGAGATTTAATGAACTTTGGAGATAAGAAATCAGAATGAAATGAACCTGCAGTTTAATAAGGACAAGGGAAAAGTGCTGCATGTAAAAATTTACAAAATTGCAGATCTAAAAAAAAACCCAAGTAGGCAGCAATTCTGCATCAAAATTTGCTGGGAATGATGGTGGGTCACAAACTGAATATAAGCTGCCCGTGCCTCGTAATGGTAATAAAGGGAACTCTCCCAAAGGGCTATCTGAAAGGCAGTGCTGTTCTGCTCCCTGCATTTTGAGAAAGCTGGGGACCAATTTGAGATACTTCTGAGAACAAGTCATAAATGAGAACAAGTCTTGGGTCCAGAAGATAATGAAAAAAATTCCTTTACTGTCGGGAAGATGGAGAAAAGACTTAACGTCTTTCCAATGACACACAAAAGATATTGGAAAAGGAGGAAGGGCATGATCTGATGTCTGTGTTCACGTTAGATAGGAGGAGATGCAATGATGGAAACACAATTTAGACACCATCAAAATCCGATGCTACAGATAATTTGCTGCTGGAATAGCTTGCCTAAGGGAAAGGGGTGGAATCTCCGTTGCTGGAGTCTTTGAGAACAGGTCAGACAGACGTGTGTCAGGGATGGTTTGGGGAGAGTGGATCCTGCCTTGCAGCACGAGGTGAACCTGCTCAGTGTTTCTCAACCTTTTTCCACTGAAGGACCATCCACCAGGTTGCCTTGAGCAGCACTGCCACGGTGGTCGTCCTTTACAGCCAAATAAAGACGAGATTAAACTTTGGATGGATAAATTTTGTTTATTTTATTCTCTCTGATTTTACTTGCCTGCATGCAGGGACTATGTGTGGGTGTTTTCATTTAGCTATTTTTTTTTTTTGCAATTTTGTCACAGAACATCTTTGATGGCTCCCAGGCTGTCGTGGTCCATAAAATACAGGTTGAGAAACACTGAACAGCTGACCTGAAAGGATTTAATTTCTCTGTTTCTGCGCTGCTGGGCAGCCCTGAAGGGCACAGGCCTGGCTGTGCTGTCACCTGCAGTATCCAAGGTGGGCAATGGGACCTTCAACAATTTTTTGGCTTGTCTCAGATTGCATTCAGCTCCACCAAATATTGTGGCTTGTTCCCATGCACGAGGATTTGCCAGCTTTGATCCTGCTGGGCACATTTGCGATGAATTTCCTTCACTCCAACTCCTTTACCCAGGAGTTTTAATACTATATATTATAAAACTATCCAGATGGATAGAAAAGAGAAAATGGGCTGCTGTCTTTCAATTGAAACTCTTCTGAGGGTTAAACTGTGAAAGGGTTAACATCTCTCTGTTAATTTTCCTGTTTTATTCTAGTTGCCTTTATTCTGCATTGCACCCAGGGCAGGTGCCTTGACGTGCTGCCTCTCAGCCTCCCTGTCTGCTGCCTTCTGCGAGCCAAAAATTCCTCCCATTAATTTAAAAAGCATAAAAGCATTTTGCTCTGCCTCAATGCTTGTTGCCGTCACGCTGACACCCAGGTTAATATGTCGAGAATGAAGCTGGGATTGTACTTGTAGATGAAGACACTTGAGCGTCGGTGTCTCCAGGTGATGTGAGCCTCTCAGCTCCCGTTATAGCCAAATGAGATGTGGAAAGTCAGGGGAGCACAGGCAGTGATTCAGCTCACCCTGTGGGCTACGTCTTCTGCACTGCACGGCCGAGTGTTCCCAGGTGCTGGAACTTGCTCATCCACGCTGTGAAATGGTTAGCACGCTCCCTGGCACCATTTTGGCTTTCATGCTGACGGGCAGAAAAGGACCTGGGGGTGTTGGTCGACTGTCGGCTGAAGATGAGCCAGCAGTGTGCCCAGGTGGCCAAGAAGACCAACAGCATCCTGGCCTGTGTCAGGAACAGCGTGGGGAGTAGGGCCCGAGAGGTGATTGTCCCCCTGTACTCGGCACTGGTGAGGCCCCACCTTGGGTACTGTGTCCAGTTTTGGGCCCCCTACCATAAAAAAGACATTGAGGTGCTGGAGCGGGTCCAGAGAAGGGCGACAAAGATGGTGAGGGGTCTGGAGAATAAGTCTTATGAGGAGAGGCTGAGGGAGCTGGGGTTATTCAGCCTGGAGAAGAGGAGGCTGAGGGGAGACCTTATTGCTCTCTCCAACTCCCTGAAAGGAGGGTGTAGAGAGGTGGGGGTCGGTCTCTTCTCTCAAGTCACAGGCGACAGGACGAGAGGAAATGGCCTCAAGTTGCGCCAGGGGAGGTTCAGGCTGGATATTAGGAAAAATTTTGTCACTGAAAGGGTTCTCAGCCATTGGAATGGGCTGCCCAGGGAGGTGGTTGAGGCCCCATCCCTGGAGGTGTTCAAAAGACGGGTTGATGTGGTGCTGGGAGGTATGGTTTAGTGATGGGGATGCTTCTTGTTTGTTGTGTGGGTGTCTATTTTTGTCAGTTGGGTTGACAGTTGGACAAGATGATCTTTAAGGTCCCTTCCAACCTAGAAGATTCTGTGATTCTGTGATTCTGTGAAGAAGCAGCTTGACAGCAGAGATGTTTAGCATTTTGTGGGGTGCGCTAGTGTGTCTTATGGATACCAGCTGCCTGTCTATTTCATCCCTTCTCTTCTCACCCAAGCCTCAGGTCTCCAACAAATCCTTTCTTCAGGACCAGGAGGAGATGGCTGGGGAGGGAGGGGGAAATTATTTCTGCGTGGATGAATGATCTCCATCTATTTGCAAGCTCTTCTGTGAAAGAGCTTGGTTTATGAACGAATTGGGTCCTGCATTTGCAGAGCACAGGGATGCCCGTGTGTTATTGTAACCCTGTGAACTCACAGAGCCCCTCTGCTGGGAGGGGGGGCTGAGAGATTTGGGGGGGTCAGCCTGGAGAAGAGAAGGCTCCGGGGAGACCTTAGAGACCCTTCCAGTCCCTCAAGAAGGGGGGCTCCAGGAAAGCTGGGGAGGGACTCTGGCTGAGGGAGGGGAGCCCTAGGAGGAGGGGGAAGGGTTGGACACTGCAAGAGGGGAGATGAAGGGTGGGTGTCAGGAGGATGGGGCCAGTCTTTTCCCAGTGGTGCCCAGGGACAGGACAAGAGGGAACGGGCACAAACTTGAACATAAGAAGTTCCATCTCAACATGAAGAGGAACTTTCCTATGAGGGTGGCAGAGCCCTTGGAAGAGGCTGCCCAGAGAGGTGGTGGAGTCTCTTTCTCTGGAGACATTCAAACCCCACCTGGACACGTTCCTGTGGGACCTGCTCTGGGTGGACCTGCTCTGGCAGGGGGTTGGACTAGATGATCTCCAGAGGTCCCTTCCAACCCCATAGCATTCTGTGATGCTGTGATGCTGTGAATTTGTTTGGTGGGAGGGTGGTGAGAGCCTGGCCCAGGTTGCCCAGAGAAGCTGTGGCTGCCCCATCCCTGGAGGGGTTGAAGGGCAGGTTGGAGGGGGCTTGGAGCAACCTGGTGTGGTGGGAGGTGTCCCTGCCCAGGGCAGAGAGGTTGGAATTAAAGATCTTTAAATTCCCTTCCCACCCAAACAAGTCTCTGATTCTCTGATTCTGTGCTGTGCTGGTTTGGAGATGAGGATCACATCCCGTTTCAGTGGCTGGTTCAAGTCAGTGAAAGAACCTGTCTCCTCCAGCAGAGAGGGGCCTCTTTGGGTTAAGCGTCAGAGCCTCTGTGCTTTGAGGCTGAGGTCCTGGGCTCTCCCCTCGGTGTCAGGCTGTGTTATTTGTGTGTGTGCACTCATGGATTAATTGTAAACTGATCGCAGAAGCGGGGACCGAGCACTCTGCATCGTTAGCATAGCCTTATGTCACACAGTCCCCGGGGAGACATTGTTCCCCAGGGCTCAGGGAAAGGCACAGAAAAGGGAAAAAAAAAAAAAAAAAGTTCCTGGCTTGGGCTAGAGAAGGTGCAGCACCTTGAAAAGGGGAATCCGGTCCAACTGGTTGGGTTGCTGTAATCAGATGCAAGGGGAGGAACTGTGGAGAGAGGCAGCCAAATGTAGGATGGGGACATGCTTGTTAATACTGGAAAAGAGACAAATTATGCCTCCTTAACTACTTGGCTGCTGCTGAATGCAGCGGAGAAGAAGCTGGGTGTTCCCATGCTCCTGATTTCACTGGAGTTTCCCTCGCAGTGTAAGGACAGGCTGAGGATGCTGGAAGAAATGGCTTTGTTGCAAAACCCGTGGCAGAATGGGAAGAGTTAAATAGGAGCAAATATTCTGTCTTCTCGAAAGAGGAGCGAGATTTGCTTTGATTAGTTCGCTTAATCTTTGGTGAGGAAGAGAGTAAGCCAGATACCCCCTTGTCTCTGGAACATATGGGAGAAATTTCTCTTTGCAAATTGGTGATTGTTTTAATGAGAAGAGGATGTGGCTGTGCTCGTGAATGGGGAGTCTGTGCAGCAGAAGCTTTGCCCCCTCACCATGTGCCAGGGAAAGCCTTTCCTACAGAGCTGCTGGTGAGAAGGGGACAGGCAGAACTTCCTCTGCCCCCTCTGCTGCACCTTGGTCTGGTTTTATTCTTGTCTCTAAGCCCCACATCCAAAGGTCCTGCTGCAGTTTTCCCTTAATACTCTGCTAAAAATCGTTAGAGGTGGAAGTTATATGCAAAGCAGGGATGGGAGGGAAAGGGTGTATCCCTTAATTCGCCACCTTTCTGAAAAGGCATGGACATTTGGGAGCTTTCTTCTATTTGGCCTTTTGTCTCTGGGATCTCAGGAATGCCAATTCCACCAGTTTCTTCTTGCTGACCTTCTCGAAGGTCTTGCACAGGTGTTTACAAGGAGAAGAGCTATTTGCTTCTTAGAGTTTATTCTCCAGTGCTGGAATGAAATACATCCTAGTGAAAATAAAGAAAGAAATAAAGGATTCTTTAAAATAATCTGGAAATAAAGTACTTCTTAATTACCTTTCATCTGCACAGTATATTTTAAACTATTATTTTGGCAGTCCTCCACCTGACCATAGATTTTTGGCTGTGCTCGTGAATGGGGAGTCTGTGCAGCAGAAGCTTTGCCCCCTCACCATGTGCCAGGGAAAGCCTTTCCTACAGAGCTGCTGGTGAGAAGGGGACAGGCAGAACTTCCTCTGCCCCCTCTGCTGCACCTTGGTCTGGTTTTATTCTTGTCTCTAAGCCCCACATCCAAAGGTCCTGCTGCAGTTTTCCCTTAATACTCTGCTAAAAATCGTTAGAGGTGGAAGGTATATGCAAAGCAGGGATGGGAGGGAAAGGGTGTATCCCTTAATTCGCCACCTTTCTGAAAAGGCATGGACATTTGGGAGCTTTCTTCTATTTGGCCTTTTGTCTCTGGGATCTCAGGAATGCCAATTCCACCAGTTTCTTCTTGCTGACCTTCTCGAAGGTCTTGCACAGGTGTTTACAAGGAGAAGAGCTATTTGCTTCTTAGAGTTTATTCTCCAGTGCTGGAATGAAATACATCCTAGTGAAAATAAAGAAAGAAATAAAGGATTCTTTAAAATAATCTGGAAATAAAGTACTTCTTAATTACCTTTCATCTGCACAGTATATTTTAAACTATTATTCTGCCAATCCTCCACTTGACCATAGATTTGAAAAAAAAAAAAAGTATCTGAATTTCTAGTGTATATTGTTCTGAAAGGGAAAAGAAAGGAAATTGGACATCAAATCATCTATCTATAATCTAAAAAATATTGAAAGAACTGCATGCTTTTTCTTATTATTTTTAATTTTTGGAGGTGATGGTTAGAACTGCATGCTTTTTCTTATTATTTTTAATTTTTGGAGGTCATGGTTAACTTTTGTTTGTTGTGTGGGTGTCTATTTTTGTCAGTTGGGTTGACGGTTGGACAAGATGATCTTTAAGGTCCCTTCCAACTTAGAAGATTCTGTGATTCTGTGATTCTGTGAACTAAGGACTTCAGCTGCCCCTGAGGTTAAATGCAGAAACTGATGTGCTGTGATTTGACCTGTAGGGAGCAAGTTGTGAGCTGGGGAAAGCTGGCTTCAGGAAATGATCTTGTGAAAGCAGAGTGTACGTTTTGGGGATGGCTGAGGCATGAGAAAGAAACAAACAGGGAAAAGCAGCGTTCCCCAAACAGGGGAATTCCCCAACCAGTTCAGTTTTCCCTTTGAAAAGGAGGTGAGTTTGGGTCGAGGCTGCTTTTGCTGTGCTGGGAAGGAAGATGAAGCAGGAATTCTCTGAAATTTGGATTTCAGGCCACCTTTAACCGTGCGGTTCCTACCAGGGGTTCCTGCTGGTCCTGCCGGTGGCTGCCGTGGTCCCCTGACATTTCCTCCCTCCTGGCACTCCCCGCCAGGACTGCTCTTACTGGTTTTGAGACAGATTGTGGCGATGAGGTCAGTCTCCTCCCAGGAGATTCCTGCTGACAGGGCCCTTTCCATCCTCTCCTCTCAACACGAGTTAAAACACCAGCAACCACCAGTGATGCTCCCACCCTGTTTACACAGCTCTGCTCCACACAGCCTTGTTGTTGCCATCGTAGCAAAGCGATACGTGCTTGTGTGGTTACCTCAGTGCTCATTTCTTCCCACAGCTGCTTTAATTCTCCTCTTTAGATACCTGTCATGAGCACAGAAATGCTGTGAAAAACCTCTGTTCCTGTGCTGCCCGATCTGTGCCGCAGATTTTCCTTCTGAGACATGAGTTTCTCTTTACTCCTCTTCCCTGTAGCAGGGATTCTTCTCTGATGCAGTGGGGCCCCCCACCATAAAAAAGACATTGAGGTGCTGGAGCGGGTCCAGAGAAGGGCGACAAAGCTGGGGAGGGGTCTGGAGAATAAGTCTTATGAGGAGAGGCTGAGGGAGCTGGGGGTGTTCAGCCTGGAGAAGAGGAGGCTGAGGGGAGACCTTATTGCTCTCTCCAACTCCCTGAAAGGAGGGTGTAGAGAGGTGGGGGTCGGTCTCTTCTCTCAAGTCACAGGCGACAGGACGAGAGGAAATGGCCTCAAGTTGCGCCAGGGGAGGGTCAGGCTGGATATTAGGAAAAATTTTGTCACTGAAAGGGTTCTCAGCCATTGGAATGGGCTGCCCAGGGAGGGGGTTGAGGCCCCATCCCTGGAGGTGTTCAAAAGACGGGTTGATGTAGTGCTGGGAGGTATGGTTTAGTGATGATGCTCCTTGTTTGTTGTGTGGGTGTCTATTTTTGTCAGTTGGACAAGATGATCTTTAAGGTCCCTTCCAACCTAGAAGATTCTGTGATTCTGTGATTGTGAGAATAAACACTTTCTAGATTGTGAGACTCTCACATATTGCAGTAGTGGGGGCCATATAAGCGTCAGGAGAGGAAGAAGCAGTGACCTTGTTGTCATTGGGACCTGACCCTGTAACACATCTGGGTCTCCTCCTTTCTGTGAGTGAAGCCAAAGTCTCAGAGCTCATCCCAGGAGCAAAGAGTCTTGTGAGCATGAGTGTGTCCTGGACTAGGCCATCCTGGATCCTTTGAGGATTATAAATCATATGTTATGTGGCTTCAGAGTTTCTTTTAATGTAGCCTCTCCATTTGTTCCCAGTTCCTACGTGCTTTGCTCTCGAATGAGTCACCAAAACCTGCTGCTTATGCATTTTCCCTTGCCTTAAATGTCGGCTTTATTTTAAGAAGCTGAATCTCCGGTTTCTCAAAACCTGAAACTCCTTTTTTTTCAGTTTGACAAGTGGACAGACGCTCAGAGGAGAAGGATCCTCGTGGACCTGTTGGAACGCTGCTCCCTGTCACAGCAGAAATTCTGTGCCAAGCAGCTCCAGGATCGAGTCCCCACCGAGGCTCTGGATTTTACCACAAGGCTCCCTAGAGTCCTGTCTTTATACATCTTTTCCTTCCTGGACCCACGGAGCCTCTGTCGATGTGCACAGGTAAAAAAGCCAACACATCCCTAAGGTTCAGAAAATGGGGTCAAACTAGTTTTAAAAAAAGGAAGCAGCACTATTTTTCAGCAAAGACAGTGTTCTTCGTGGTGCAAGGATGTTTTCTGACTTGGCAGCCAAATGCTTCATGACGCTTGTATGAACCCCAGCGCGGCACTTCCACACATCCTAAATCAAGCCAGATTGGCCAGGATTTACAAAAGTGATGAGTAATTTTAGATGCTCAGCTCTACAGCATTTAACATTTGGCACTTTACAAGATTCTTCCCAAGGAGGAGGCCTGGTACTTTCTGAAAATCATGTTCTTTAAAATACCTCACCCTGCGTGCAGAATCATTAATTGCTTTGAAAAATATTGGCTTGTGCTAGTTGTAAAAAACTGCACACGATGCTTTAAGAAAACCAGATCTTTTAAAACGCTTGATGTTAAAGTGGTGGATGTGGAGAAGCAGAGAAGTTAGATGTGCTTTTGAGCATGGTGGCTTGGGCTTCAGTCTCTTGAACACAGTGGCTAAGACTCCAAAAATATGTTTGCAAGAGATAAAGTGCTGTGAGGTGATGCCCAAAGTAGTTCTGGATGAGGAAGTCGATACAGGTGACATTATTACTGCACTAACAGACTACTCCACATAATACTACGAATAGATCGAAATCTCAGCTTGTTTAAAGCTTGCTCCAATATCTTTCTCCATGTCCTGTTTTGGGTGGATGAAGCTCACACTATTCAGTCACAGGCAGAGAGAAGACAGATTAGGAAATTAATTACTTAGAAATAAAGGTCTTTCCAGTGCTACTGGACAGCTGCTATTAGAAGCATGGCAGTGCCAGATGATGTTTGTCCTTAAGCTGGAACAAGCATTGCACACAAAGTGGCTGTGATAAAGCACAACAGTAGAACATGAGTAGGAAGAAAACATCCAGAATGAGCCTATCAGACTTGGGGAGTTTATTGCTGCTGGCTTTTCCTCAGTGGAAACTAATAAAGGGTTTATTCCATCTACTGTACTTGAGTAGAAGTGCAGGAAGTTGCTGCAGACAAGCTGAAATCGTTCTGTAGGTCCACAGGACAAGAGGAAATGGCCTCAAGTTGTGCCAGGGGAGGTTTAGATTGGATATTAGGAACAATTTTTATGCTGAAAGGGTTATGAAGCATTGGAAGTGGCTGCCCAGGGCAGTGGTGGAGTCACCATCCCTGGAGGAATTTAAAAGACATGTAGACGTGGTGCTTAGTGATGGGTTTTGTCAGCCTTGGGTTGATGGTTGGACTTGATGTCCTTAAAGGTCCCTTCCAAACTGGACAATTCTATGATTCTATGATTTTTGGAATATTTCACCCTGTGCTGGAGATCAGCTAATACTTAGGGCACTGAGCACGTCATGAAGACCTTGAATGGTTTAAATGGTTTAATGAAAGGTTTAAATGGAGCATAAATAGTGATGAAAAATTGTAAAAGGACATATGGAATTACATCCACAGCACAGAAATCTCTAGCTGCAATCTTGGATGCTTGAAACCCCAAAGTTTTCAACTTACTGGGCATTCACAGGTGAGCTGGTACTGGAAATACCTGTCAGAACTGGATCAGCTCTGGATGCTGAAGTGCCTGCGTTTTGGCTGGTACATCAACTTCTCTCCAACCCCCTTTGAGCAAGGAATCTGGAAGAGACATTACATCGAGATGGTGAAAGAGCTGCATATCACAAGACCAAAGGTACAGCCCTACCACAGCTAGAGATGTTTGGGGCTGGGGGGATAACTGGGCTGGTTGTGTTCCTAATCCCTTTGCCTCTTTACCTTTCTGTAATCTCCCACTAGTAAAATGAAAGAGATGTCATTTTTGAATTAGGATCTGAACTCGTGTGTTACCACACACTCTGCTTTCCCATCATCCACCCCTGGTAGGGGGAAAGTGAAAATCTCACTGGTTATGGGAAGTGATCACCAAGGTCTCACTCTGTTGTGCTTCCAGGGTGTTCTGGAGTAATCCTCTATATTTCCCTCTCCAGCTCTCAAGGCTGGTGGAAAGGCAAAAAGCCCCCATTGTGCCTGTTACAACCCTTGGTGTTGTCTCTTTTTCTCTTCTTAAAAGGCCATGGGGCTGTTTTGGGGAGGTGGAGCCTTACTCAGAAGCCTCCTGAGATTCATGCCTGATTTGCAGGGCTGTGAGGGAGAGATTCTTCTGCCCTGAATTCAAAACCTAGCCCTCTAATTCTAGCCAAACTCTCCTGCAGGCTCTTTCTGTAGCCAATGAGCAGATGCTAAAGCATCTCAAAAGCAGTTTCAGCTCAACTTAATACAGACTCTGGGACACGGGCAATGACACGCACTGTGGGGGTGACTGTTTCTGTCCACTGACCATACTGGAGCCTGGAGAGACTAATTTTGAGTTATTACCCAATTCTTAGAAGTCTAAAGTGAGGTGAAATAAATCTCACTTTCATTATAGGCTAAAATTAATTTTCTTATTTTCTTTTCTCTTATTAGACTCCCTCAAAGGAGGACTTTGTAGTTATTGATGTGCAACCGGTAGGAAGCGATGACCCAGAGTCAAAACTTTTTGTGCTTGGAAGGAGGACAAACAAGAAGAAAAAGCAGCTCCTACCGTGGCGTTCACCAGACAAGCACCCGACGGACACCATCCGCTTCAACTACCTCAACAACCACAACCCCATCGAGCAGGCCAAGCAGGCGTAAGAGCTTCATCTCTCCTTCCCTTTGTCTTTTTCTGTGCTGTAGGGTATGGCTGTGTCCTCTCCGAGCTCCCTCTGCCTCTGCTGCAAGCTGCCTGGAAGCCCTAGAGCTCAGCAACCTGGTTGCAAACCCACTTTGCTGCTCTTTTGGCTTGTTTTTTTGATTAACCTTGGACCTATTGTAGTTGCAGCTGCACTACTTCGTGTCCTTTCAGCGCAGCGCATGGGCACAGCTTGTTAGTGGCTGCCTATAAAACAGGCTGTAACTCCTAGGGACGTTACACAGCTGTAATGGGAAGAATCAGGATGAGAGTTTGTTCAAGAGGTTTTTAATAAAGCTGCAAGGTTGAGAGGAATCTGCAGTTTTTGCACAGAAGAGGAAGAATTAATTAATTGTGATGAAGTACAGTTCTACCGCTTCAAGGGTCTTCTGGCTGAAAAGAGATGTAGATGATTGAATAGGGGTGCAGGTGTAAGAGTATGTATGTACTATAGAACATTTAATTAATAGTATTTATATCTACACAGCCTGGGACAGCAACAAAGAAAGGCATTTTCCCCCTGAAGTATAGTTTTGCTCATTGAGTTGTGTTTCAACTGCCCCATGTTTCATTTTAACACATCTGGCACCAGATATTTTCAGAATCTTAGGTCTGTGGTCAAATTTCTGTGCATTAACAAGAATCAGTAGGAGCAATAGCAAAGAGGTCGTGATAAGTCACCCGTGGGCAGTTTTTGGCCCATTTCTCCTTGAAGTCTCTGCTAACACCACCTCTCATTTTTCATGGGCTCGCAGCGGTTCCCTCAGTTCAGCTGATGGGCAGTAGGGTATGAAACTGGTAACACCATCATCAATCTGAGCCTGGAGAACAGGTAATGGATTAGTTTACCTGCATGAGTCCCTGTGAAAAGGGACTGCAGAGGCTCTCACCCAACCAAAGGTGTGGAGAGGAGGAGATTCCTCTTCACTGTGCCAACAACAACCTTGGGAACAACTGAGCCACAATGCAGGTATCCAGATATTGTACTTGAGGTAAATGACTGATAGAGCTGAGATTAGCCCTGAACAATCAGTCCATGAATTAGCCCAGCAGAGTGATTATTTGGCAAAGCAGTCGTGCACTCACGGAGGCTCTTTCTCAATGTGATTAACTTTGCTGGACCCATCGTTCCTCCGGGGTGTTCCACAAAGTTCCCAGTGTCTGAGCAAAAGCCTTTTATGAATCATTTGTTTAATCCGCGTCCCCTAGTCCCAGGATACTGCTCTACTTCAAAGGGCTTCCCAGTTTCCACCTCACCCTCTTTCTGTGGTACATTTCCAAACTCTAACACCATTTTTGGGCAGAGTTCATGGAGGCTTTTAACTAAACATTTTGACAAAATGCCTTTTGTTGCAAGTGGATGCCCTGATAGTATTTTCCAGTTGGGTTAAATGTTTCTCTGTAGCGGCTCCCAAAGGTTTCTGTGACCTTTAGGGACACTGTGACACAGTGTCAAAAGTGGGACAAGCTGTGTTTGAAAGGTTTAAAAGTTGCTTGTTCCAGCGTTGAGCTGGAGATGCAGCTGAAAACCAGATGCAAATGATTTGGAGTTGCTAATGATACAGTAAGCACGCTGACTGTTTTCTTCTCCTAAGTGAGATTTGAGCCTCTATCCATTTGTGCAATGGAGAATATTTTAATGCCTAATGTTCTAGCAAATCTGACATTTATCCGTAATTATAGAGGATTATTGCAAGGAGAGAAGTGAATTCTAGGAGATTTGCTTGTTTATCAAGGATCTCCCTTTAATATCACTTAAGCTGGAAGTAATTGCTAGCGTGTAGTCTCATCTGTAATGATTATTCAGCAACGCAGGTGTGTATTTCAGGTGCTGACCCAGCTTCTCACTCACAGAATGATATTCTGGTGCTTCTTTTCTGTCGACACATTGATGACAGAGTCCCCTCTGAGAAGGAGAAGAGAAGGAGAAGAGAAGGAGAAGAGAAGGAGAAGAGAAGGAGAAGAGAAGGAGAAGAGAAGGAGAAGAGAAGGAGAAGAGAAGGAGAAGAGAAGGAGAAGAGAAGGAGAAGAGAAGGAGAAGAGAAGGAGAAGAGAAGGAGAAGAGAAGGAGAAGAGAAGGAGAAGAGAAGGAGAAGAGAAGGAGAAGAGAAGGAGAAGAGAAGGAGGAGGAGGAGGAGAAGTCTGTTTCAGTTGGAAGGGACCTACAATGATTATCTAGTCCAACTGCCTGACCAATTCAGGGCTGACCAAGTTAAAGCACGTTGTTAAGGGCATTGTCCAAATGCCTCTTAAACCCTGATGGGCTTGGGGCACCTCTCTAGGAAGCCTGTTCTGGTGTTTGACCACCCTCTCGGTAAAGAAACGCTTCGTAATGTCCCATCTAAATATTGCACCCTCCATCCTTTGCTTCTGGGCAGCTCCCTGGGGATTGGATCTTCAGCATTTCACCTGGCTCCCTGGCTGCAGTAGGAACAGTGGGACCACCTCATGTTGAGTGTTCTTCAGGTGGAGGCCTTTGGTGGAGGCGGCAGCTAACGTGTGGCTTAGGCAGGTGTAAGGTGCCTGTCAACGGTAGCACAATGGCAAAGAGGTCACAGTGCCCCACTGCAATGCCAAGCTTTGTTCTGGATGGCTGAGGAAGGCCATGCTCAGCCAACTGTGAGTGAACGTCTAGTTGGTTGAGCTGGGAAGTCTCATGGCAGTGTGATCTACCTCACTGCAGGCTACAGGCTCAGGCAGACCCTGCCTGACCAGTGTACGGGGTTGTGAAGAAGAACAGAGAACCAAGATAAAAATCTCTGCCCCCCCAGGCTGTGGTAGGTCTAGTTATTCTTCAGATTAGATGAATTCTTGGAGCTCAAGGGCATAACAACCACTCTTCGTGTAAAATGAATTTCAGAAGTAATGAAATCTATGTAAAATGAGCTTCTTAAAACAATAGGAGTGATTTCCCAAACTACAGGGATTTGCAAAGGTATTCCAGGGGGAGGAAATGGGGTTTGCTGCAGTCTCAATGGGTATAGAAACGAGTATTTTGGTTGAGGTCATGAGCGTGTGTGAAAAGAGGCAGCAGAACTGGCAGAAAAGCAGCAGAAAACCAAAGCGATGGCTGAGAGAGAAGGGCTAGAGAGGGCACGTGTAGGCCAGCAGGTGGACTGGGAAACTGGGAGCCAACAAACCATCCTTCCCATTTGAGTTCTGCTGTGCTGAGGAAAGCTGGACTTGGAGAAAATTCTTTGTGAATAAAGAAGATGACATCAAAGGAATACCTGACGCCGTCATCAAAGCAACGTGTGAGACTACTCACTGGCTACTTCTTTGAGTTAATCTGCCTAATGGCAGGTTAAATTTTGCAGAATTTAAGAGGTAACGAAAAAAGTTAAGTTTTTCATAGCTCTTTGACCTGGTTAAAGTCTCCTCTGAGCTTGACCTCACTCTACACTTGCTTTCTAGCCCAAAGAGAGGTGAGCACTCTCTTGTTCATCCTGACAGGGTGCAGCTGGAATATTGTCATTTAAATGGCAGAGTTGCCACCTCTTTCTTTGTTGGCCTTTTGAGAGGAGTCGTTAGCTCTACGTGCTCCCTTCCACAGCAGTATCAAAACTCCACTGCTGGGAATTCGTAGCAGAGAACTGACCCTGCTCAGCCAAAAAAACCCCAAAATATGGGGAAGTGTAACAAGATACAGTCAATTCTCAATTATGCAGGGGAGAGGAGATTAAGTGAGTCCTAACAGAGGTACCACAAAACATATACTTGGGGCTATAAGACTATAGTTGGGTATTTACCTTTGAAAAACAAATAAATAGATTTTTACAGCACAATTGGGTGAGGGTTTGGCCTGGACAATGCTGGTGCTTCATGTCCCTGAGGAGAACCATAAATCCGTGTCGCACCTGGGCAGTGCCCAAAAATATGGCAGAATGGTGTTAATTTGAAATCTGGATGATAATTGAGAAATTATCAGGGTTTTTTTGGGGATGGATTTTTTTGCTGCTTGCTCAGAAAGGCATGAGCTTGTACTATAAAACCTGAACGGGGCCCAAGAGCCTCGGTGCCAAACATCAGCACGAAGGAGAAGGGACAGAGATCCCGGAGCGTGTTCACCAGGAGGTTATTCCCTTTGGATGGGGAAAAGTGTGGGAAAAGCTTCAAAGTCATTATAAGACTATAGTTGGGTATTTACCTTTGAAAAACAAATAAATAGATTTTTACAGCACAATTGGGTGAGGGTTTGGCCTGGACAATGCTGGTGCTTCATGTCCCTGAGGAGAACCATAAATCCGTGTCGCACCTGGGCAGTGCCCAAAAATATGGCAGAATGGTGTTAATTTGAAATCTGGATGATAATTGAGAAATTATCAGGGTTTTTTTGGGGATGGATTTTTTTGCTGCTTGCTCAGAAAGGCATGAGCTTGTACTATAAAACCTGAACGGGGCCCAAGAGCCTCGGTGCCAAACATCAGCACGAAGGAGAAGGGACAGAGATCCCGGAGCGTGTTCACCAGGAGGTTATTCCCTTTGGATGGGGAAAAGTGTGGGAAAAGCTTCAAAGTCATTGAGCAGTGAAATTAAGAATAGCAGAGATGAGATGTACAGTCGAGGGAGTGGTGAGGCGATGGAGATACAGACAAGGCTTGAATTACCAATTGCCTGGAAGGGGTTATCAAAACCCCGTGGTGGAATTAGAGCTGTGACTTTCAGCCTCGCTGCCTCTACGTGTGCCATTTCTCCTGAAGGTAATTTCTGGTAGGTCTGGTTTGTTTGTTCACCAGGAGGTTATTCCCTTTGGATGGGATAGTGTGGGAAAAGCTTCAAAGCCACTGAGCAGTGAAATTAAGAATAGCAGAGATGAGATGTACAGTCGAGGGAGTGGTGAGGCGATGGAGATACTGACAAGGCTTGAATTACCAATTGCCTGGAAGGGGTTATCAAAACCCCGTGGTGGAATTAGAGCTGTGACTTTCAGCCTCGCTGCCTCTACGTGTGCCATTTCTCCTGAAGGTAATTTCTGGTAGGTCTGGTTTGTTTTCTGCCTGAATTGTCCAGGTAGCTTTTTTTCACTGATTTTCACTGAATTTTTAGAGTTGGAAGGGACCATAGAGATCATCTAGTCCAACTCCCCTGCTGAAGCAGGACCACCCAGAGCTTGTCAGAGCA